CGTGCGCCGTTAAGGCATGTGGTTTTTGTTCTGATATTGTAGACGAACGCCCCTTCTAGTCTTTCGATTCCGTCAAATGTCCGTCTGTACCACAAAACCACGCGTAATAACAACGAAGCTATCAAATTAAAAGGTCCTGCATGAATCAAGGTAATACTCGGAAGTCCTATCGTTGTAATAGTGTATGTAACATGGGTGTGTCCAGTTATACAGGGTGATTCACAAATGGTGACCAAAAATGACACCTCGTATTGTTTGGTTAATTTTAAGGGGAGTCTTTCCTATAAAGTTTTTATCTAGGACGCTTCGTTAAAAAGATACAGGGTGTTAAACTTGAAAAAATAATTTTATTTTTTTTTAAATAATTTAAAGACTAGTAAGTAAGTGAAGTAATTTGAAATTGGGCACATGTATTTATGTAAACATTGTCCAAAATCTGACGTCTTTTTTTAAAATTAGATGCTCCAATGGCGGAGATACAGGGTATAGGTGACATACTTTTCTAAATAAAATAGTAGGTACGCCACTGCTTTACGGTGATACAATATTTTCAAATTCGTCTTTCAATTTTCTGCAAATTACTACTCTCTTATGTTTTTCGAAAAAAGCCTGATTTTCGAGTAAAACTTAAAAAACAAACTCAGAACACACTTCGATATTCGAATATAATGCTTTTTAAAATTATATAGTGAAGAATGTAAGAGGGGGCAAGCTAATTTTTGCTGAAATTTCTTCAGTACCACTCACATAATAAAAGTGTAGATCCCTAGATCTGGGCGAGGTCCGGAACATTTTGAAAATTGCAAAAATGTTTAAAAAATACCTAATTTATCTGCGTCTTTTACTAATATCTTGGAACCTACCTATGTATTTTGGAAGAATATTGAAGAGGAAAAAAGTTTTAGAATTGAATTTTGCACAATATACTGAAGTTAAAAATTTTTAAATTTATTACCGATGTTGCAAAATAGCAATTTTTTAAAAATATTTTAATTGCTCCGAGGACATTCTAATTTTGGAGAAAAAACTTTAGAACATAATAAAACAACACACCTAATTTCATTTAAATCGGTTCTATAGTTTTCGCAAAATAATTTTTTGAAAAGAATTTGGAAAAAAATTTTTCGAATTTTCTAAATGTTGCACAACCTCAAATAAAACATCTAGATAGGTACTTGAAAATTTTTTCACATAGAAAAGACCTTTCAACCTTTCAAATGGTTTTTGAAAAATTGAAATCGGTCACAGTAAATTTTTAAAGTTAACACTCTTTTTTTTATTTTTAAGCAATTAGATTACATTTATCAATTTGCAATTTAATTTTTTTTCAACAATTATTAATTTTAAAGTACTCGGAAAGACGCTTCTTTAAAAAAAAAGTTAAATTCCCTTTATTGGTTCTCGAGATAAAAGCGGTCAAAGTTTGTTGGCATTTAACGTTAATTTATAAACAATTTAGCAATAATCTTTGATCCAGTGGCTTCGTTTTTCCGAGTTCTAAGCTGGAAAAAATTTTCATATCCATAAGTTATCGGCAACATAGATAAATCAGCGGAAAAGCTGCTGCTCGCGGCTTCTAATGGTCCAATTTCGATCTTTTTTTTTAATCCGATGTCTCGCGAGCCAAGGAATTCGAACTGTCCAACTGTTCCAATTGTCTAATTTGCACATATTTTGTTATAAACCAAGTTTATTATTTATGCATTAAATATATTGTATATTTTACCCTATGATATTGCATGTTTTCAATGAAAAAAATTGTTTACGTATATATTTCATCGTTGAATATGAATGTATGTATTTAGTTATAAATATTACAATTATTTAAATAATTTTTGTTCAAACGATTTAAAACAAAATTTTTTATTAGGAAATTAATTTTTTGTTAAATACAGATAAAATTAAGAAAAAATAGTATTTTAAAATTATAATTTTTGAAAAAAAAACTAAATTGCAAATTGATAAATGTAATCTAATATTCAAAATTCAAAAACCATTTGAAAGGTTGAGCGGTCTTTTCTATGTGAAAAAATGTTCAAGTATCTATTTGAGGCATTTGAGATATTTTGAAAATTCGAGTTTTTTGCAAAAAGTTATTTTGCGAAAACTATCGAACCGATTTTAATGAAATTTGGTGTGTTGTTTTATTATACTCTAAAGTGTTTTTTTACCAAAATTAGAATGCCTCAGAGCAGTAAAATATTTTAAAAAAATTATCCAGAAAACTTGATTATTTTGCCTTTTTTCAGCAATTATTACTCTTTTTGGAACATCGGTAATAAATTTAATAAACATTTTAAACTTAGAATATATTGTGCAAAATTCAATTCTAAAACTTATTTTCCTCTTCAATATTCTTCCAAAATGCATAGGTTCCAAGATATATGTAAAAAACTATATATTTTTTAATTTTTTAAACATTTTTGCAATTTTGAAAATGTTCCGGACCTCGCCCAGATCTAGGGATCTACACTTTTATTATGTGAGTTGTACTGAAGGTAATCCAGAAAAAAATTGTTTGCCCCCTCTCATATACACCTCAAAACAGATCCGCCCTGGTCTATTTAATCAAATAATAAAATAGAATTTATTAACCTAACAAGATTACTTTGAATTTTTTATTGACACCAGCAATTTGTCTTTACAAGCTATATCTAGTACCGGAAATGAGGGATAAGAACGAAACAAAAAAAGCATATTAGAAAAAACTAAATTATACGTGATGCCAGCCAGCGCCAGCATCCATCCATCAGTCTCGCTCTTAATCTTAATACACCTGGGCGTCTCCCTCGTAATTGGTATTACATCACGGCCTGAGAAAGTGAATTAAAATCGTAATAATGGCACTACAGTAGGCTACGAAAAACTGGTATGACCGGTGTAGCGGCGAACCTTTCCGTCAGCGCGAAGCATTGCCCCGTAACATTCTTACACGCATATCGGAGGATGCTGATGATTTTCTCCCTTGATTAACGTGAGGCCATCGCCACATCTCCGCAACGGGCAACAGAACACCACCATCGTGGGTCTCCCCCCCCCCTCTCTCTCTCTCTCTCTGGGCGTACCAAGTATGCGCGTAGATCGTAGATCTTCCGCTTGACTAATCTTCGAGATAAAAAAACTCCGTACCTGGATCTTCCTTGAAATCGGATTGCATAACCAGCCGATGGCGAGTCGCAGACTGTGCAATGAGAAACTAGGAATCTGCCATTTTTGACGTTACACGAGATGTTTATCAAAACGTAAAAGCAAACATTACTCGAAAAAATAAGATAAGAAAGTTCATAGCGTAAAAAAGTTTAAAGGCGAAAAATATCATGTCTTTCATAATCCAATATATTGCACAATAATATTAAGAAATATCCCCAGACGGTGCACTATTATTGTGCAATAATTTAGTTTACCTCTGGTACTTCCTAAGCGAACATGTTGAGTGACACTGCACTACATTCGATACACAACTGAACAGATATTGCGCAATACTGTTCACAGACTATACAATATATTCCAAACTGCACAATAAAAATCAAATTATTTTTGATTCACTAAATATATTGCGCAATCTTTCAATTACAACTAGCAACAGATATTAGAGTGACGTCACTGGCCACACACCTGAATATACACTCGTCCGTCATCTAATAAAGGATACGAAAACGTTGAAGGAGACAAAAAAAGTTGCTAAATTGAACAGAGAATTATACCCTTAACCTAGAAAATACCACTGGCGTACCGGAAGAAAGTTTGGGAGGCTAAAAAAGGCCTGACCCCAGAAAAAGTATCACCCTGTAGATCGCGACGACTATTAGGGAGGGTCAATGATACAGTTAATCTAAGTTAGCCTACGACATTCCAAATTTGAGCTACATATCTCCAAAACTGTGGAAGATACAAAGAAGAAACAGAAAAATTATTGAAACTTGTATCATGGTAACAAAGCATTTACCCCCCTGAATAAAGACATACTATTATGAGACACCCTGTATTTTTAACCTGGATTGTCAAAAACTAAAATGTTTAGGCAATATATGCTTCATTAGTAAAGTTTAACTAGTGCCATCTACACATGACCACAAAATTAATATGTATAGTCTTTCCGATCTCAACTGAAGAATCAAGAGGTTGGCAGTATGTACCATGTTCGGTCGCTGACGTAGCAACTCGGCATTGAAATATTTGAAAAACTTGTTCCCATATTTATTTAGCCATCACCCATATACAGATAGAAATGTATACGCCTAATTGAAGAATGCGCGCGCGGACAAACGGCGTGTAACACAGCCGCACTGGGCGACTGGGCAGTAAATATCAGTTGTTGATAAGTGGTTGACAAATTGTCTAGCAGTGCAGTGCAGCAATGTGGAATTTGATGTGATTCAGGTAATTTTAATTTATTATAGGCACCTTCTATTAATCATTCATATTACAATTGCGAAAGAGGGAAATAAGACGGATATTTTGTTTACTAATATTATTACAACAAGGTATTTTGGAGACCTTTTGAAACGGAATAACACGAAATTTGCCATCAATATAATAAAATTGTTAGAGGACGTAAATAATAATAATAATAATAATTATTATTATTATTAATTAAAATATGTTGGTCAAATGAACATATAATAGAAATTTCCTACACATTATATACAAATTATTATAATTTTTTTACCTTTAGCAGAAAACTTTTATAGGGAGGCCTATGAAACTCATTAAATTGTATTGCTAGGAGTTTTTATACATGTTCAACTGACTTCGGAAATACTATACTACTTAAGTTCTCACCTGTACTTTTTTATGAAGATTTTAATTTCAATTTTTTTAATGCATTTAATGAAGATTTTAATTTTTTTGTTTGTTAGAAGCCAATGTAGAGGAAATTATGACAAAAAAGGCATTTCTTGAAGGTTTATCTTTTAAATTGACGCGATTTTTGGGGAAATGCTACTATGCTAAATAGTAAAAATGAAGTAAAATTATTCTAAACGGGTCAATCAACTTACCATCCTATCCCTTTCGTCTTCGACCTGAAGGATCAGGTCGCTGAAACTTTTCAGCGACGCGCAGATGACTTGCTCATCGTCAGTCTGAGTTCCACCGATGCATTCGAAAGTGAAACCCTGAAGGCACTTGGCGAATGATCTTTGAGCAATACTCAGTTCTGAAAAAAAAAAATGAAAGTAATTAATCGAAAATACCAATACTTGAAACGTTGGTTTATATTTTAAATACTGAAATGCAGTTTCAGGAATCGAAAGGTAAGTGAAATATGTAGGTACACCCAACGGAAGATTTTGGATTTCAAATAAGAACTTTTTTATATATATATTTAATTTAGCGACTTTTGAGTGAATTAATTCAAATTTTACTGCCCAATTTTGTAATTCCTGCAGCTATAAGAAAAATAAAGATTGGAGGTCTATTTTTTTCATGTTAACTATGTTTATAGATAAATGATTTTTAAAAACGGAAGTTTCGGGATTCGAAAGATTAGTAGTTTTGGATTTCACACAGAAAATTGCTTATTAAGATCATTTGCTTTATTTTTATTGCCATTCATCAACAGTAGGTACAGCTTTTTTTATTTTGCAACTTTTTCATTGAACATTTTACATAGAGAATTAATTTTGTAATTCCTGCTGACTTAAGAACCCACCCTCAAAAAATTCTCGTTCATTGCCCAAGAAAGACAACAGTCGTACGACACTTTATCTTATACAAATTTAAATAGACATTTTTAGCATGTAGGTTAGTGATAAACCCAATGTTACGACCTTATTGTTAATATTGTTATAGATACGCGTGATAAGGAAAGGTTGTACACTTGTTTTAAACAAATACCTCTCCTTTATTGGAAATCGATTTAAAAAATAAAAAACCGAGTCTCCGTTATTTTGAAATAACTTGGGGAATGACCGATATCGTCCATTATCAACTGATATCGTCCATTATCAACAACTAAGTGTCTCAAGTCTCAAGGTGATAAATATTTACATTTTTCTAATGACTAGTGTAGAAAGAAATTACCCTTTTTTAAATTGTTTGACATCATTAACTTTTCGTAACTAGTTAGTGTGGAATAGGTATATGGTTCTTTTGTTTCCATACTTATACGTGACTACAATTAATTGTTTGCAGGAAATGGAAAATCACAATAACAGAGTAATCTTTTATATACATTTTTTACGTTTCCCTAATATATTGATAATTTCACGACGATTCCAATTTTTAGGTCATAACTGTTTTTGGAATTAATCATTCCCTTTGGCAAAAAAAATCTCTACAGCAAATATGTCGAAGTGAAAACTGGATGCTACCCCAACATTTGTTGGAGGAAAGGAAATTATTTCATTGAAACAGCCGGCTGTATACCCTTTTACGACTCTCGGAGACAATCATTCATCCAGGCTCTTTCCCCGGATGGATAAAAGGAATAAAAGCTCCACTGACGGCAAAAAAACAATTGACGGTAACGTGGGCGAAGTATCATTGCAATTTGGGCTGAGAGAGAGAGAGAGATAAAAAGGGAGACCTAAAGTTCAGTAACCCCCGCATCAAATCGATCGCCCTAGACGGTTTTATATAAGCTGAAACAGCACACGAAGGCACCCGTTTCAGCGAATCTGTGCCCCGATAAGATAGTAATGGACGCCGAGTGAAAAATACGCCCCTAAAATTTGAGAGCATTTCGTTATTTGTTCCTGATACGGAATTTGCTTGTGTGCGCATTCATTAAAAGCAGTAAATGTATCGCTGGTTTAATTAATCGGGAATTCAATTTAGGTAATCAACTAGTTCTGGGGACCAAATGTTATTTTTGAATTAATAATGCATTTACTTTTATTTTTCCTATGAACTATATCGAAATTTTGCTTCGTTTACGTGTTATATTTAAAAAACTGCAAAGTGCATTTTCACCCCTATCTTCAATTTCAACCCTTTAATTTTTTCATTTCTAATGACCCTTCGAACAAGTCATGTGATGAAAACTCTTGAACGTCTTATTTCCTTCCTTTTTGCAAAAAATGAGAATTAAAACGTACAATGGTAAACGCAACGAAAATCGGAAAATTGGCCAATTGTAAATTTGAGCGACCATATGTCAGTCAATTTTCATCCAAAAATACTTTACAATCTTTTATTTTGAAGGAAATTTTATCTAATTTTGTTTCTATGAAGCAATGCCTATACCTATCTTTATTAAAAAAAAAAAACTAGAGGCAAAAAAGTTAAAAAAATAAAAAAATCGAATTTTTTGCCTTTTTTTCAAATTATTAACGATTTTTTGCATAAAATTTTCCTTTCAAATTTTTTAAATAAGCAATTTCCATGGGAAATTCAATTCTCTAAATAATTTTCCCTATGAACTATAGCGAAATTTTGCTTCGTTTTCGAGCTACAATTAAAAAACTGAAATGGGTGCATTGTCACCCGTATCTCCAATTTCCACCCTCTATTTTAATAGCACTCCGCGGTTTTTTCATCTAAAATGACCCTTTGAACGATTCATGCAATAAAATTTCTTGAACATCATTTTAACCCTGTTTTTTTTTATATAATCAATAGCCTAATATCCAAGAAATATTTATTACAGCAATTAATTAATGAATTAAATTGAAAAGAAATAAGTTTTAACACTGATGAATTGCTATCGAAATTGAACTGGAAAGTGTCTTCAGGGAAATCGAATTTGAAAGTTAGCGACAGTGAAAAATTGAGAAAAAAAGACTGCANACCCTTCGAATAAGTCATGTGATGAAAACTCTTGAACGTCTTATTTCCTTCCTTTTTGCAAAAACTGAGAATTAAAACGTACAATGGTAAACGCAACGAAAATCGAAAAATTGGCCAATTGTAAATTTGAGCGACCATATATCAGTCAATTTTCATCCAAAAATACTTTACAACCTCTTATTTTGAAGGAAGTTTTATCTACTTTTTTTCTATGAAGCAATGCAAAAAAATCAAAAAAATGTTTTGCTTTTTTCAAATTGTTTATTAACGATATTTTGCATAAAGTTTTCCTTTTAAATCTTTTAAATAAGCCATATCGATGGGAAATTCAATTCTCTAAATTATTTTTCCTATGAACTATAGTGAAATTTTGCTTCGTTTTCGAGCTACAATTAAAAAACTGAAAGGGGTGCATTTTCACCCCTATCTCCAATTGCCACTCTCTAATTTAATAGCACTCCGCAGTTTTTTCATCTAAAATGAATATTTGAACGATTCATGTAATAAAACATTGAATGTCAGTTTCTTTTTAAAAAATCCTTTTTACCCAAAAAAAAACTAGAGGCAAAAAAGTAAAAAATAAAATAAAAAATCGAATTTTTTGCATTTTTTCAAATTATTAACGATTTTTTGCATAAAATTTTCCTTTCAAATTTTTTAAATAAGCCATTTCGATGGGAAATTCAATTCTCTAAATAATTTTTCCTATGAACTATAGCGAAATTTTGCTTCGTTTTCGAGCTACAATTAAAAAACTGACAGAGGTGCATTTCCCCCCCTATCTCCAATTTCCACCCTCTATTTTAATAGCACTCCGCGTTTTTTTTATCTAAAATGACCCTTTGAACAATAAATGCAATAAAATTGCTTGAACGGCATAGTTCCTTTTAACCCTGTTTTTTTTTATATAATCAATAGCCTAATATCCAAGAAATATTTATTACAGAAATTAATTAATTAATTAAATTGAAAAGAAATAAGTTCTAACTTTGATGAATTGCTATCGAAATTGAACTGGAAAGTGTCTTCAGGGAAATCGAATTTGAAAGTTAGCGACAGTGAAAAATTGAGAAAAAAAGACTGCATCTTTTGCTGGTCTATGTTATTTAAAACTAATTCTTTGTAATATTTATTTGAAAGAAGGAAATTTTTTAGTTCTTATTTATTAGGGTTTTTTGGAGGGTTTTTTTTGACACCTATGAAAAAAAAATAAAAATTTTCTAAAAAAAGCAGACAAATAGAATATACAAAATGTACATTCATTAATTTGAATTAATTTTTCAATGGTGCAAAATACACAAAGAAGAAAATAAAACTGCCAGAAACAAATACGTTCAGACGAAGCATTTTTTTTTAGTTTCTAAAACACCAGTTGTACCGATTTTGGTACAGTCTTTCCGATCTCAATTGAAGAACCAAGAGGTTGGCAGTATGTACCTGTTTCGGTCACTAACGCAGCAACTCGGCATTGAAATATTTGAAAAACTTATTCCCATTATTTAGCCATACCCATATACAGGTCTGGTCGAACTAAATTGTAGAAATGTATACGCCCAGTTGAAGAATGCGCGCGCGGGCAAACAGCGTATAACACAGCCGCATTGGGCGAGTGGGCAATAAATCTCAGTTGTTGACAAGTGGTTGACAAACTGCCTAGCAGTGCTGTGCAGCAATGCAGAATTTGGTGTGATTAAGTTAATTTTAATTTATTATAGGCAGCTTTTATTAATCATTCATACTACAATTGCGAAAGGGTGAAATAAGAGGGATATTTTGTTTACTAATATTATCACATGGCATTTTGGAGACATTTTGAAATGGAACAAAAGGAAATTTACTATCAATGTAATAAAATTGTTTGAGGACATAAATAATTTAAAGTGTTGTTGGCCAAATGAACATATAATAGAAATTTTCTACACATTATACATATACAAATTATTATAATTTTTTACCTTTAGCAGAAAACTTTTTTTGGGACGCCAATGACACACATTAAATTTTATTGCTAGGCGTTTTTATACATGTTCAACTAACTTCGGAAAGACTATATCTATCTGGCAGAAACTCTATCTTGTGAAATTGTATTTGCACCTAAGATAATCTTTCTAATTTTTATATAGACAAAAACTCATTGTTTTGCAACGCAAATTGTTACTCATATATTTTATCTCTTATACGTATTGCGTATCTGCAATGATACAAAGCACATCTTATTTTCGTTACAAAAAATATTTCTTTTGTATATCTTCTCTGCTTGTTCGACAATTTTGCAATAGCAATATCTCCATTAGTGACAATTTAATATGATTCTCATATCATCGAATTAAAATCACAAAATTTGTCAGGTACCGATCACGATATGATATTCTCTATTCTGCTTGTTCTGGCGCCCTGTAGACGTGGGGAAACTTACGGTTTAACATA